CATTAGGCTCTCCTTTGTGGTGGCAATCTAAGTGGTATAGCCCAGGGCAGGGCCATCCTGCAGATCCCTTCACTATCACAGTGAGTGCCTGACTGAGGCTAGAGCACTCCACACTCTTAATACAAGACTAACACTGTCACCAAGAGAAATATAGAAGCCATGAAGCCTTCTCTGCCCTGACATGGAAAGGCAGAGTGGTCACAAATGCCTATCTAGGCTCAAATGAAAAGGAAGTAGTTGTCATTTTTAAGTGGAAAAGGACTTAGCCACATCAGGCATCTGGTATGTCTAAGTTGCCATCTTGCTCAGTGATGGAATATAGCTCTGACACCCATGATTGCCTGAGATAGGATTTAAAAGCCAGTTGACAGAATGCTCTGTTTTATCAACTGGATGTTTAAGAATAATCCACTTACGAAGATACTTAAAATGATGATGAAATTAAATGTGGTTCTGCTTGTAAGAACTATCAATATAACAAGTGTGTACAAACTTTTAAACATACAATTTTCACCTAAGAGAGGAATACTCAACCTAGAAAATGAATTCTCAGAGATGGTAATTATTCATGCCCTTTGACCCTGCAGAACATGGGGGTGGAGGAGGGCCAAGCAGAGGGAAATTAAGGGTGAGGAGTATAGCTCAGTGGTAAAGTTTGCTTAGCACACCTAAGACTCTGGGGCATCCATCTTCAGCACTGACAAACGATGAAAAGATTATGTTAAGTGACAATGGTTGAAAATGTGATTAGAGCCAGGTTTTGCCAGCTCACCATTGCTCAGCTGGGTGGCCACCAACAAGGTCCACTGGCTTCCTTCTATCAGTGGTAGCATGGAGCTAATAAGAGCACCCCTCTCCAGATGCTGTGAGGACAGCTGTGCCTGCACAGGATTGCCCTTCCAGCAGCTTCCTTGCCTGTGCCAGATGCAAATGCCAGTACCCAATAGGAACCAAACACACAGAAGGAGGATGCCCTCTCCATCCTTTGAGATGACACATGCATGGGAATTCTAGGGAGGAGGAGGCCTTCCTGTGACATCTGGGCACCCATCAGTCTGTGGGCTCCCACTGTCCCCCATCCCCCCATACTTATCCTCACTTTGACACATTTTTAAATTTGGCTCTACATTTTAAGCATGTCAAGCTAGATTTTAGTTTTAGTGACTCTTACATATTTGGAATTGGTCTCCAGGGTCTATTATGCAAATCCATGCAAATGATATGCAAAGAGGCAGTCACTCCAGATTGTGGGGAGGGGAGTGTGTAGACCAGTACAAAGGGCCTTGAATGAAAATTTGCATGTGTTAGAGGAGCCCCTGGTTGAAGGCCCTGCACATTCATTGTGACAGTACACATCACATTCTTCACTTGCTAACCTTTTGTGCTAAGGAAAAAGGGTGTAAGCTCTTGTCTCATTTCCATATTCAAGGTGACAGTGAGGTTGAAGGAGTTGGACAGTTCAACCCTTGTAGCTATTTTATGATACAAATGAAAATTTTTATTTTTGAAATAATGGCTGTGATCCAGGCTGTCTCCTTGTTGTGTGACTTTTCCTGGGGAGACATGAACAAACATCTAGTCACCCCATTCAGGACACAATAGCAAACCAGAGAAATGATTCCACCCAAACCTAACTTGGTGAACTGATGGGTAGTGTTTCGGGTGATTCAAAGGCCCCACACCTCGGCTGAAATGACAGTTATGGCAAGCTGCACCCCCAGATTCTAACAGTCTCCCATCCCTTGACAAACATCTGTTACCTGCATAAACCTGGGGAAGTGTCCCATGAGCTCTCAGTCTTTTTTAATCCGAGGGCATGTTTCAAGTCAGAGCAAACGGCTACACCATACTCCCCAGCCAGCCACGTGCCGTTAAACAACTTGATCACCTCTCTATACAGTGAAGAGGTTGGTTTAGATGAACTTGAGGGTTCCTCACTATGTTAGCCAAAGCTCAAAGCCCCATGGCATCCAGGAATAAATTAAATACATGATGGAGAATACAGGCTGCTTACGGAAGAAGAAAGTCTGGAGAGTCTGGTACCTGAAGAGCAGCAAGGACAGTCAATAGATGCTACAGGAACTCCAGCCAAGGGGTATGGCTGGGGTGATCAGAGCCTCTGTAGGCTTCTAGTGGAGAGATGAAGGAAATTTCTTTTCCTAACCATTTAAATCCTGGAAAAGCATAAGTCTTGGTTCTGGATGTCTGTTTATATTCTCCGGGAGACCAGGTAGCCCTTCCTTCCCACTGTGTGGTTGTCCCTGGGTTTGTCCCTGGTGTCTCTCCCCAAACTCTGTGCTGTTGACTCTGAAGCTAAAACAATAAAATCTCTTCAGCTCTAGGGCTCTGACTACCAGATACATTCTGTTCCACCTTAGCAGTTCTCAGGGGACTGCTAAAGTTAACTCTTGCTGCTGCAGCAGCCACCAAATGGACATAGTTAGGACTTGCCATCCCCTGGGTTGAAGACCTCAATAACTCAGCCTTGTGATACCCAAGAAGCAGCCCTCATCCAGTAGGGGTGAGAGTCTGGGGGAGTCTCTTTAAGGCACATGATGTGAGGTGCTCCCAGTAAGACTGGGGTGCTTCTCCATCAGCTTACAGCTTCCCCTGGGACACTAATCTCAGCTCCCTTGGCTGGCCCTCACATCTCCCAATGTAAACCACTTACCCACATGCCCTTTGTCTCCATTGCCCCCCTTTGGAAAGGGTTCTGATACAAAATGCTTGTACTCAGCTGCTGTAACAAAATAACATTCTCTCAATGGCTTACACCACACTTATTTCCTCAACGCTTCAAGATCAAAGGGGGGGTCCCTATCCTTGCATCACTGACAGCCTCCCTCTTACTGCTGTGCCCTCACAACAAGAGGATCCTCTGTGCCCCATCTCTTCTTAGGGTACCAGTCAAATTGGGTTAAGGTTTGTCCCATTGGCCTCTGCTCATTTCAATCTCCCTTTTGAATACCTTTCTCCAAATAGTCTCACATTCTGAGATTCTGGCATTTGGCAGGGGGGAAGCCTAGTTCAGCTCTTAACAGTCATCAGACCAACTTGTAACAGTGTTTCTCACACAAAGGTTGCCACCGCCAGTGGCCACCCCCGTGGTGCCAAACTGCAAGGGGTGGGTTTGTGGGGCTGGAATAATAACCCTGAACACATCAGAGCAAAGTGGCAGATTGCATCTGCTGTGGGTACAGTCAATGAGTCTCTGCCTCCTTCTCCATCACTGGTGGCAGCTAACTAGGAAACACATATGCTTTAGAGACAGCCCTGGTTCTACATGCTTCTGAGACTATGTGACTTCACACATGTCCCCTTGCCTCCCTGGGCTTTCATTTCCTGCCCTGTCAAGCAGTTGCTAGGTTGAAAGTTAGAGTGATTGCAGGGTGACTGCAATGAGCAGGATGCACTACACGTGTGTGGGCTGACTTGTGAATGAACGTGGAGAAAACTCGCTTGCTTAAGGTGGCCGTTGGTCCTCGAGACAGTAGGCACTGTTGCCTCTGATAAAGACAAGGTCCCAACCTCCCCAGTACTGGCTCAGCTGTGACTGTTAGGTCCAAGTTATTCCAAAAACTACCACACACTGAATGGTGCTCCAGACACACTGGAGTTCCTCTCTCCCTGCTACCTTAATGCTAGGCCAGAGTCTCTCCATCTCCACCAAACTCCCATGAACCCCAAGCCTCCCACTGCTGGCAGCCTTGCTACCCATCCCAGAATTCATGTGGGACTCCTGCCCATGACACCAGTGTGACTGACCACTTGGCCTACTAGAGCATGGTGGCGTGCAGAAAGACTCTAAGAGAGTTGTCAGATCTCTCCCTGCTTTCTGGGGTCTACATAGGGTTGAAAAGAAGCCCAAGAATGACAAAGGATTGCATATAAACATGGAGGTATTGAGAAATCAGAATCGGGCCCTATCAAAGTGTCCCACCGCCCAGCAGCAACAGAGACCAGCTCTCCCTAACCCATGTGCTGCAACAGCCCATGATCTTAGGGTTCCCATATGTCCTGTTGACATGTAGGGTTACTGGCACGTGGTGCTGTGATTATAAAATCATTTATATTTAGGAATGCTTTGAAACTCAGTTTTATGGTTTTGCATTTTCTCAATAAAGTCATAAGGCATACCTTATTATGCAGCCCTCGTTTTATTGTTCAGAAGGGGATCCTCCTACTCAGAATGACCAAGCAGTACCAGTGAGGACTTCCCTAAGTTCAACTACATAAGGAACCACAGGCAAGCACTTGGTGACAGTGGAGTGCTTGGTGCTCCAGTCGCCAGTGGTCTTTCTGCAACATTTCCTATCCCAGATTCCAACTGTGATGTTCGAGGAGCTGTAACCGATTGCCCTTCTCTGGACATGTGCCCTCTCTTCTGCCAATCACCTTCCTATGACACCAGGGCATCTCTGCCTTACTTGAGGTCATCTGTGGGTCTGGGGAGTGGCCCTGTTTGTACTCTGGGGTGCCAGGAAGGGTAGTGTGGGATAATCGAGTCTGAATGAGCAGGGGTCTGACATTGACACTTCATTCTTGTTCAAGAAAAGGAAGAGAGTTGGTTAGCTCTCCCACCCAAGCCTTTCATAGTTGGCTCTGAGTGGCTCAGGGGTCAGGCTGGCCTTGACTACTCCCCAGTGGCAGATGATGAAGAAGTGACAAGTCTCCCAGGCTTCCCCTCACATTCCAAGACAACAAACTGAGAGGGCTGGTGGCATTCTAGGGAATTGGGAGAAAAGTGGGATTGGCTGATCTGATTGCCTCAGGGTCACCTGGTGCTACTAACTGTCATGATAGGTAGCATCCTTCTCCCTCTGTATAGACTCTCCCCAGCTGCACACACAGTTCTTGTATCTCAGAGTGCCAGGGTGGCCTAAGGAACACTCCAGATGGCCTCCCTGCATCCCCAGAGCTTTCTCCAAGTCCTCGGTGAGGATGGCCTGGTGTGTGCAACACATTCTTTCCTCACCTCTCTCCTTTTTCTCCTCCTCCAGGCTTTCTCCTGACCTTGGCCCTGACCAAAGCACTGGTACTCACTGTCCAGGAACCATCTCCCAGGGAATCTCTGCAGACCCTTCCCTCAGGCAGCCCCCCAGGCACCATGGTGACAGCACCTCACAGCTCTACCAGACCCTTCTCTGTGATGACACGGAACCCCAAACCTGATGGACCCTCCTCACAGGCTGCAGCTACTATGGAAACAACAGTATCTCATCCAGAAGGGTACCCTCCTACAGACACCGTGTCCACTGTTGTGACAGCTGCCATCCCCCATCCTGAAAGCCCTCTGCCCACAGGTTCCCCTCCAGCTGCCATGGCAACCACAGCCTCTCACTCAGAGGGCCGCCCCCCAGGAGATGCTACCCCCACCATCCTGCCAACAAAGCCAGCAGGAGCCACCAGCCGCCCCACAATGTCCCCGCGGTCCACCACTCGTAGGGCCCCCAGGCCCCCAGGCTCTTCCAGGAAGGGGGCTAGTGGTTCATCCCGCCCTCTCCTCCCTGTACCCAGCGGCCACTCAGCAAGGAAGGAAGGCCAGAGGGGACGAAATCAGAGCTCAACACACCTGGGGCAGAAGCGCCCTCTGGGGAAAATCTTCCAGATCTACAAGGGTAACTTTACAGGATCTGTGGAGCCCGACCCCTCTGCTCTTAGCCCCAGGACCCCACTCTGGGGCTACTCCTCTTCACCACAGCCCCAGACAGTGTCTCCAGCCACAGCACTCAGAAGCACCTCGTGGGTGCCCCCCACAACCTCCCTGGTACCTGCAAAGGACAAGCCAGGCCTTATCAGAGCCAACCAGGGGAGTGGCCCCACATTTACCAGCGCAGCAGGGGAGCCGGATGCCACAGCAGCCTCAGGTGCTCCTGCCAGTACACAGCCTGCCCCAGTGCCTTCTCAGAGTCCTCATGGTGACGTGCAGGACAGCCCTAGCCACAGTGACTCTTGGCTTGCTGTCACCCCTGACACTGACAGACCCCTGTCTGCCAGTTCCAGGGTCTTCACGGCTGCCAC